AGTTAATGCCTGGCTGCCTTACTTTAATCCACATTCATAACCAACCTTCCATGTGTTACACACATAGACTCAGTCATTATTAAGTGTTCTTGATGCGAARTATTCTTAAAGATTTAGTTTATGACTGCTTGAGTGCCCCCAAGCCCCTCTTCATCCTTTTCTATTTGGAAGGCCTTTCCTTTGTGCTCCAATAACATGACATTTATCCAAATCAGCCCAATGGGTAGGCCCTGAGCATCTAAGAACAGCAGCCTTGACTCATTCGTCTTTGCATCCCTGCACCTTGCCTAATTATTGGCAATAAGTCTGGCCTTACTTTTCCCAGCCCTTCACTCCTCATCRGATGGCATAAATCATACTTTCTAAAACATTGGTATTATTTTAAAGAAGATCTTCCATGTTTGTCAACTTTCCATTGCTATGACCAAAATATGGACAAAATTAATTTAAATGAGAAAATATTTATTTTGGGCCACACACAGTCTTAGAGGTTTCAGGCCACGGTTGGCCAGCTCTATTACGTTGGGCCTGACATGAGGCAGATCATCATGGCAGAAGGGCATGATGAAGGGCATGGCAGCCAGGAAACAGAGAGAGGGGGTGGRCAGAGAGAAAGGGACCAGAGACAAGAAATGCCCTTCCAGAACATGTTTCCTGTGACTCACTTCCTCCAAAAAGGCACCACCTGCTAACGTTTCTGCCACTTCTCCACAATGTCATTAAATTATTAATTCAACAATGGATTGACCGCTGCTGAGGTCAGAGCCCTCATGATCCACTCACTTCCCAAATCCCTGCCTCTGAACATTGCTGCATTGGGGACCAGGCCTTCAATACATGAAACTTTAGGGGACCTTCCAGATCCAAACYGTAATACTATCCTAAATTACAGTAGTAAAATACATTTCAACAAAATCGTTCTATTACATTGAATTTAACTATATGTCCATAGATTTTGTCTTAAGTCACTCTCTAGTATTAGAATTAAAAAAAAAAATCTGAGCAGTTCTTTAAATGGTTTTCCATGGAACTGTTTCCTGTTTCTAAATAACTTTTTTTTTTTTTTTTTGATACCATGGGCTGAACCCAGGGCTGCTTAACCATGAGCCACATCTCCAGCCCTTTTAAAAAATATTTTATTGAGAGACAGGTTCTCACTGAATTGATTAGTGCCAGGTTTGAACTTACAATCCTCCTGCCTCACCCTCCCAAGCCACTGGGATTACAGTGTGTGCCATCACTCCTGGCTCTAAATAACTATTTTGAGTAATAGTTCTAAGTAACTCTTGGGGAGAATAAATGTGGAGGACCAATGTTGTATAATACATAGTAAAAAAAAACAATATAAATGGATAAACATGGTATAAAATAACAGAATCTTCTTCTGAATACATATGTATTTAAAATATTTTTGAGCATATATATACACATAGGTAAATTTATATATCAGAAGGAAAAGCTTACATACTAATTCTGACAGGGTGAAAGAAAATGTAAGATATTTCATCTGAATGTGCCTCCTCGACAGTAGGTAATTGTGAGCATGTACCCGAGAGATCTTCAGAAAACCTCTGAGCAACTGCAAAGAGCCTTGAATCATATACCCCCCCAATAATCACTTGATGCTTTGCCCCATGTCCCCCTCCCCCAAACACAAAAAAGACACCCTTAATCCATGCAAGAGTGTGAGATGTAGGTGTAATCAAATAGAATATGGGCAAAGTACAAATTTGTAACATGAAGCTGATTTTGTGTTCATAGACTCATTAAGCTGCTGCTATAAATGGTGCTTTGGTTTTTGGCCCAACTTTGACCAGTCGGGCAGGCCAAGATTCTGCCCAGGCTCTGCAACTCCTCAACCCTCCTAAAGAATTATTTCACCTCTTCACAGCTCCTCCTCTTCCAATCAAGGGTCTGACACTGCCCATTGTCCACATTTATTTTTCTGCCTTTTGGCACTGGGAGTTTGTCTGTTGCAGGATAAAAGTGGAATTCTCTGCTGTCTGCAGGGCTTTCCCCAGGGAACAGAGCATGAAACCCAAACTTATATAAAATCATATCCTGTTTGCAAACATCATATTCCCTTTGCTTCGCACTAATCTGGTCCTGTAAACCCCAGCACAGCTTGAGAGCCCATTCCTCATCTAAACAAATGCCATAAGCCCCTTTATACTTTTACAACCATGTCAAAAAATAATATTGCCTGCCAATAGTGATGTGATTGGAGTTGCCTCCTCCGAGCCATAAAAGAAGCGCAGAGTCTGTTATCAATTTCTCTAAGTGTATCAGGGGAATTATGGGTCGATTCAGTTCCAAGTTATAAATGACAACTCAAAAGCCGCAGAAGCGTTTGAAGCTGGGAGCTGATGACGACATTATCATAAAAGCCTGCTCGTCCTTGCTTTTGTGGGTTTTTTTGTGGCCTATCAAGTGAAAAAGGGAGACTAAGGCTGAGAAATGACTTCAAGATTTCTTCACACAGCAGCAGGTCACATGGCCAGGAAAATGATCACTATTTTTAGTGATATACCCTGAGGAGTATGCACTAGCTTGGTCCTGAACTGGTTTTGTTTCCAAAGTTCCTTAGTTATCTATTTCCTTATACAATGACCAAGTCCTGGGTTTTGGTAAAATGCTCTTTTCAACTGGCATATATTCTTATAGATCAATCACATCATTAGAAATGAGTCATACCATAGTAACTAAATAAAATGAGATGCAAAAAGGAATTCAAAGATCTTGAGATTATTCATAAAATGCAATTCTGGACAGCATAATTTAAGGCACCTTAAATATCATTTTCCCACTGAGTTGTTCCACCAACACTCCAATACCACAAGCAATTGGGGGGAGGGAATTTAACAAGTAGAGGATTTTGATTTTATAATGTTCTAAGACATCTCCAAAAACAATGAACCCATAAGCATTCAGTAGCTATATGTTAAACCACTCTATAATGAAGTTATATATCCTAAATAATGTGACTTCACTTTAATTGTTGGAAATCACTGAGCATTTTGGAGTTAAACCAATGGGTCTATTTTAGATTGTTTAAATCAGGAAAGTGTCTTAAACAAAAGGCAATTTCAGTAGTTTCCAAGCTTTCCAGGTTACCCCCATGATGCTAAATCAGATCACTCCAAGTTCCTACTTGTTTTTTTGCATAGTTAATGTGTCTAGGATTGTTCTTGAGGTGAAAATTTAGACTGGTTCAAATGCAAAGGACCCAGAGTTTCTCCTAGCACTTGTGTCAAAATCAAAGATCTAAGAAAACAAGATCTGAATAGATAAGATTATGACTTAGTTTCTGAAAACAAAAACRCAAAAAGAATGAATCCAATTGGTTTGCTAGAGCATCAGCAAGTGGTAGTTTATASGACTTTGATGTCCTCCCCATCACTGTTCCCATGAAGTCATCATTTACTTCGTTTAATTCTTTGCCTCATTTGCAGGTTAAAAAGCTCTTCTYTTAAAATAGCCACTTGGGGTATGAGAAAATAAGCTCAAAAATCAATGAACTCCTTTGAAAAATCAGTTTATCCTTTGAATTTAAGAATGAGTTTGCAAGGTCCCACAGGAGATTTGCTAAAATGAGCAAGGATTAATGTGGAGTGGTGATAGTKCTGTGTCAAGGGTCAAAAAGCAAAAGTCACTGGTGAGCTGCCACAAGGAGCCATGCTACCTTAGCCACACCGAAATGCTGCTAGGTTGAAGGTGGGGTTGGGGCTTAGGCCCACTGTTAAAGACTTAAAATAAGATCTTTCAGAATGCTTTCACATGAACATACACAGCATTCCCATACTTTCAGCTTTCCACCCTTTTCTGTGGGACTTCARGAGAATAACTCCTCCGAGCCATTAGTCTCTCATCTGCAAAATGGTATTAATAATAACGATCATTTGTTTTACTGGATTTCTGAAATTTAGTTGTGCATTGATAAAGTATAAAATCCTTATTTTGGGGGGGGGCAGAATCACAGGCAAAGGAACAGAGAGATATTCCTTATTAAGTCTGGCATCATTAAAATGATAGAATGAGGGCTGGGGTTATAGTATAGTGGTAGAGCGCTTGYCTAGCCTGTGTGAGGCACTGGGTTCAATCCTCAGCACCACCTAAAAATAATGGTCCATCAACAACTAAAAAAATGTTTTTAAAAAGAATAGAATGAATAAAAACTATGTGGSATTTTCCTATATAAAATTTAGTTATAACTAATGACTGTCTAAAATATGATCCATAAACAAATAGGTTTGTTCTCTCTTTTCAGTATCCAAGTAACCTCATTGATTTAAATACTTTAGTCCAYAGATGTCTGACCTAGAATTGTGTGGCCCTAACATAACTGAGCACTTAGTTCTATGTTACTGGTAAGGGTTAACTTTAAATAGATTGCAGGTTATAGAGTTTGTTCTAATCATCTACAAAAATGTAGACATTTTTCTTCCTATGTTGCTGGATTCAAACAAATTTGTCCTTGAAATGTGGTATAAATATCCTGGGTCAAAAGGCTTTGTTAATTATTGAAGACAAAAAAATGGCCTCAAGGGGTTCACAAACAAATGCCCCATAATGCAAAGCACTTTGTGAAGTTTATGCCATTTTCATCAGGAATATAATGTATGTGCATAGTTAGTGTGACTCTATTGAAAACTGAATTCCACTGCAAAACTGTGTTAAAACTTCTTGCATTAACTTTTCTCCAGCTATGTGAAAATCCAGAAACACTGGCTTCAGGAGTGTGTGGCCGTCACACAGAAACTTGAAGTTTGAAGGCCCTCAAATTCCGTTTAGTTCTGTTGCCACCATCTTGAAGTGCTTAATAAGTTTTTTACAAGTGGCTTTGCATTTGGCAATTAGCTGTGAAAATTATAYCACTAATTCTGAAGTACAATATAAGGTTTACTTTAAAAAAGAGTCTTAAAGGTAATTGGATAGATAAACCAAAGGAGATATTTTTTAAGTTTCTGTTATTTAAAAGCAGTGGTTAAACTCATACTTACCCCAAGTCCACCACAAGGTAAGGAGGAAAAAAACTTTTGAGAGTCATCACCTATACGGTAAGAAAACATAAAAAAATACATTGTGAGTATTATTGTTTATGTGGATTAACATATAAATTGTGTCACATGGTATTTATCATTGTACTCATAAGAAAAATCAATGAAATTTTGGACCAATTATTCAAAGAAGTTCATTTTAAGAATGCATTGTTCTGTTTATATAAATACATAGGTAAAAACTCAAAGCAAATGAATATTAATACTATTATATATAAAGATCTATTACCCCACAGGAACAAACACAAGCCCATGAAATTTGGGATAAAAGATTTTTTAATTGGTTTACTTATCCATATTGTATATTATAATTTTAAAATTATAATTTATGAAAACTCACACAGCTATTGACTAAGTGCATTCCTCCAAGATGATACTTGATCCACAAGTTTTATGAAACTATATACTGTCATTTTAAAAATATTTGAGACACTAAGATATCTTCTCAAGTACACACTTATTCATCATTTCTATTTCAGAAACAGTTAAGTATACAGGATCTACTTAAGATGTAGCTAAGGTCAAGTATACCCATAAGCCTTTCTAACATGAACAGGTTTTTAAACAAAACACTATAAAGAATAATTACATTTGGGAAATTATAATATCAGTATCATTATAAAAAGTCTCCTTTTAAAAATATATGCCAAAATCTTTAATTATGATTCTTTTTTGGAACTGGCATTTCATGGGACTTTAAGCAAGTATTTCATTTATCTATACTTTAATTTTCAGTACTTATCTACTTCATGAATAGACAGAGAAACAGTAAGTGTTCCCAAATTTCTGGCACTAAAATCTGTCTATTCATTAACTAAAAAGAAAGATAAAACATTTCTATCTAAGATCTTAGTCAAATTTTTCTAAAGTGACTTAGATGGGTCACTCAGAAGACCAGTGGTAGAAGCAGGTGACAAACTCTTTAATTCACTTACCCCTTTATTTGTCCTGATAATGATCAATTATATAAATAATTAAAATGGAAAACAGGTTTGTGGTATAATTTACATGCCATGTTAGTAAAATTCTAATAGTAGATTGTACTGTCATAAAAGAAAGTTTATTTTAAAAACAATGAGTTGCATAAGTTTATTTTTCAAATGCAATTACTAACAGATGGAAAACAATAAAGAAAAATGTATGCACAGATGAGGACATGTAGTTATGTAAAGATATCTTTTTCTAAAAAAAAAAAAAAAGATGAGGATACAGTTCAGTGGTGGAGTTCTTTCCTGTGTGCTAGGTTCAATCCTCAGTACTGCAAAAACAAAAGAAAACAAAACAAACAAACAAACAAACAAACAAACGGCAAACACACACACACACACACACACCCTAAGGCAAAATGTTAAAATTAGAATGCTGGCACAAGTAAAAGACGTTTCAAAAAAATTCTGGATGACATGAAAGGTGAAGTTTTTTATGTCTTTGCTCTTAACAAAGGTATTTCTATATCTTTGAATATTTTGCAAGACTGAATCCATATATCACCAGTAAATTAAATATATATATATATATATATATATATACACACATATAGATATCTGAACTCTTCATTTACAGTTAAAAGGGATAAAGATAATATTAAAACATAATAAAATAAATTAAAAAATTACTAAACCCTAAGAGAATAGAGAAAATAAATGCTATGCCTCTTATGGAGAATATTATGTAGTAATGTTTATATAACATAAAAGGCAAATAATTGATAACGTAAATTTAGCAGTGTGTAAAAAATTTAATTCACTGCATTGACTGAATTTATTTTTTTAATGACATTATAGTTCCTCGTTAATGGACTAAAGTCTGGCTAGCTACAAGATAGAAACTGGTAATAACAATGACAGGAATATTAATGTTAAGGAAAACCTTGGACCAGAAATGATTAGAGAGAATGTTTTCAAAGTGTCACCTTACGGAATCTTAAGTATTTAAAGAGATAAATTGTGCCTATTTTCAAATCTAATTATTTTATAATCTATAGATATCTTTCAAGATACAAAGACTAATAGTTCTGATCCTAGTGAACTTTCAGTTAAATCCTTCCTCCTAACCTAGAACATAATTTTCAAGAGCAGTATTATCAATTTAACACAGAAATGCCACCTCCCATCTGTGTTGGAGGGACTGGGCAAGCTAGTTGTATAGTAGTGCAAGAAATAGATAAAGAAAGCAAATTACTTGATTATTAATTTCTATACATTTGTATATGACAGCTTCAACGTGGTCTTTTAGTTATAAATGTAAAAACTATAAAAATCCAAATGTCACAAAGAACAAAAAAGTAATCTTTTAAGAGAAATAAATAATTCACTTTGAATAACAACAGAAGAATATCAGATAAATTTTGAATTCACCATAATAAATGAAATAGTTTGGATATGTCCAAGTTGAACTTCGCACTTGACCTCAGGCCTCACAGAAGGCACCATCCCTGTATGTGTGGATTCAGGTAGTCTACATTGAAAGTGCTGCCCTGATCACTGATTGGTGTCTCTCAAACTCCACAGGTATACAGAATATTAGCCCCAATCTCCAATTGTATGAATGCTATTTCCCATTAAATATTCAAACCCAATGAGATAAAAGGCTAATTAATCTGTCCTAAAATTGTAAAGACTGAATCATCAAAACTTGCATYACATACATACAATGAAAAGAAGCTTTGTCCAAGTTCCAAGTTGGAATTCATTTTGGAATCTACCAAATTTAAAGTAATAGAAAGTTTGAATATTTTGAAAAAGTTAGATTTGTTCAAAATTGTCAAATTCCTTTTCTAAAAGCAGTGGTACTGTCGTATTTCATAAATAAAAGTTTGATGTTGTCAAAGTGTAAATTTCATTTCTTTTAACAAATATGTCTTCTTTCTTAAATTGTGGCATTTTGATATTAACAATTTGACCAATCATATTCAAGTCCAGTAAAGTCCAGGAGTACCTAGTCTTATGACTGAGTTGGTGGATACTTTGGGACCATAGTTAAAAAAAAAAAAAAAGGGAAAGAAAGAAAGAAAGAAAGAAAGAAAGAAAGAAAGAAAGAAATGAAAAGAAAGAAAGAAAAACGTTTTCTATTTTCTCTTAACTAAATTAAAAAGTAATCACATAGACACTTTCCTATTTTAAGTGCTTGAGTAATTTTGACCAAATAAAACCATGAAAATCACTGCATCTTTGTGCTTAGTTGGGTAGGATTATTAATTCATGTTAAAAATAAGAACATTTATCATACAGCAGCCAGAACAAAAAGAAATACTTTATGTAACATATCTACATGTAGAGAACTGGTTCCTTTGAAGGAACCAAGGGAAAAATGTTTGGAACATAGATGTTTAGATCAATTTATTTGTATTTGTATTAAAGCATAACTTTAATTTTACCATATAAATTGTTTTTTATCAAAGTTTGGCAATATTATCTCTAAACAACACTGAGTGGTCTGTGTATGCCCCTTTGTGTCCATTTCTCTTCCAGGTACTTCTGTTGCCTATCCTGACACACACACACACACACACACACACACACACACTTGCAGACACTCCCCATGTACCTCGCCACACGTCTTTAGGGATGCTTGCTGTTCATCTTTAAAAGCAGCTTGCATGTGTTTTAAAGGGTAATTGTTAATTTCTCCTTATAATCGCTTTCCAAAATACTTACCTATTACTTGTCATATATTAGTTCCCAATCATTTAGGGCCAATTAACATAAATTATTTAAAATTATTATTGACAAAAGTTATTGAAAGAGTTCAATAATTTGGAACTGACTCAACAAGTTTGTTTGAAAGAAAGGGACAAGAAAAGGTTCTAAAGTGGGTTTTAATTAAAATATTAGCCACTTTATGTATTGTTGTTATTCAATTATAAAGATAATTAATAAAATATAATTACTTCTACTAAAATAATGTTTTGTTAGTATTTTYCCAAAAATCTGTTGTTTATAGCATTCATATAAAGATTACATAAAACTCTGCAACTTCAATTTTATTTTAAAATCTGATGATGAAATTTTGAAAAATCGTACATTGACAAAAATTATGTTTATTCATTTTCTATTTGTCATTTACTGTGTTATTTAATACCCACAGGGAAGGTGTGCACTAAAAAGCTTACGATGCTATTTTAAATTCCATCTTACTATAAAATGTGGTATCTTAGGCACAGTAATAGGACTTGTCTCTGATATAATTTTGTGTGTTAAAGTCATGGGAAAAAAGCCTGAAAGACACAAAACAAATGGGAAAGGTAAAGATGAATTTGCACAAAAGGGTGAAAAGATCTTATTGGCTTTTAGTTCAAAAACCCAAGTAAACAAATTTGGCAATGTATATATCCCTATATGCAAAACTACACTACACATCTGCTATCCAAAGAAAGGTTAATTTTAAAGTCAACATTATAGAACACACATTGTCTTTTGTAGTGCAGGAGTTTCTTAATCTACTTTGAATTCTCTTGTACACGACTCGTTCCACAGAGCAGTGCTGTTGGAAAAACTGACTTTTTGTCACAGTGCTTGCCAAGTATTTTGGACTGACACTTGTACTGACTAATGATAGTTCTGGAATGTGCTGTTCTCAAATGGAGCCCATACAGACCTAGGAGTATCCTGGGGTCCAGCTTCTGTCCATCCAGGGGGCCGGTGCCATACAACAGTGAGTGATGTTCAGAATGAACAAGCTGTATTTCCTCCAAGCTGGCTTTTCGACCTTGAATCCGCTGAAAGAAAATAGCAGAAACCTACAGTACCCCTCTGACAACATTTAGAAGAAAATGAGACCCCCAAGTCACATTTAAGATGATTAATAATGGGCTGAGTTTCATCAAGCAGGAATGTGAGACTGATCTTCTTGGTAAAATACTCTAATACTACTTGAAAAATGAGCATATGCAAGGATGGATTGCTTATGCCCATGTAGGAAATTGACATAAAGCTTATTCTTCTTTGGCATAAAAAATAAATCTATAACAAAGAAATTAATGGTTGTCTCTTTTGTAAAAAATATGAGCTTAAAAACAGCCAAGRGCTAATGTTTATCTGAAAAACAATTAAATTTATTACCATTTTATTTTATACTTACCTGAAGTTGTTGTTGAAATGAATTTTTCTTAAAGGACATGGGTAAATACCATGATAGTGTAATGTATTTTATGCTCATTACTTCATGTGAGTGCACCTTACCACAGCATTACTCTGTGTAATGCTGTTACAATGTTACTCAAAGCTTGTCCCATGGGACCCGCAACAGTTGAGGATCTGCCTGTCAATGGCCCATGATGAGATCAGTACAGAAATTCAGAGTGAATATTTAGAAACTTGTATGGCAAATTTATGTCTTTTGAATTTAATAAAATCTCATATGACTTCAATTTTTATTTCACTTTTGCACCATTTCACTTTTAGTGTGTTTTATTAAAGTTTTAGTATATGACAGATTGGAAATTAAACAGAAACAAAAACTGCTGTTTAACCAGAGATAATTTGAGACGTTCTAGAATCAATTCTTTACACTCAGGCTAGGCAGAGACTTTTTGCCCCATCTAACAAAGAAAGGTCCTTTGACATGAATACAATTGTACCTTAAGTTAAACCTTATTAGCCAACATACAAAGTGATTTTCGTGGTCTCATTTCTTACCACATCTGTGAGCCTGATAAACATCATGCTGGTGTATGAAATTAATTAACCTTCACTTTCGGAAATGCCTATGCTTCCTAAAACTACATAAACAATATGAAGTTTTTCTTAAAACACACACCATCACAAGACAGGTCAGGTAATACTTCAGTACARAACTCAAGAGAAATTCAAAGAGAGTCTGTTCAGGAAGTGCTGACCRACTGTGGAACCACCAGTTGACTTGGAAACATCCAGTGACAACCACACCTCTCTTGAGACCAGGACAACTCCGTGATCAGTCTCCCTTGTGTAAGGTGATGGGGCTGCTGGCAGACTCTTTGGTGTTTATGTGTGGGTTACTAGGGGTCAGGCTGGGAAAATCTCTAGGTAATGACACTTCCTCGGGGTGTATTGGACAGGAGGCAGAGTTTGTTTGTCACTGAAAATAAATGATCAGGTCACAGTGAGGGAGGAATGGTGGGAACAACAGGGGTAACAGAGGAGCATGATTTAAAGCAGAATCTCAAGATTGCCTTTATGTGCCAAACCAACAAATACCTGTGGAATTTTCTTTGCCATTACACTGAAGTTCCCTGTTCCCGACACTATCATTCAGCATTGTGTTACCCAATTTACATTTCTAGAAACATGAAATATGCTTTTGAGAAATCATTTCCAGGTAGTTAAGAAACGAATCCCAATACTGAAGACGAAGGCAAATTTAATGAYGGCATTCAGGTCCGCCTCGTTCTGATCAATAAACAATTGTATTGAACAGGGTAATTTGCTGGTAAACATGAAATATGCAAAGGTTTATGGAAAACAAGCAAAACCCAAAGAAGTAGAATGACAGGTCAAGAGATAAAATGAGCAAGAGAAAAGCAAGAATCAATATTAAAGGGAAACATTTTAACTTCAAGATTTCAGCAGATGGAAAATCCCCCAAGATAAATGGTAGTAACTCCACGGTTTGAGTCATCTAAAATTGGAATGAACAGAGTGCTGAAAAACAGACTGTGACAATCAGTCCTAGTCTGGCATAATAATGAATACCATGAAATAACAGAGCTTCCAAGATTTCACTTCTATGGGTCTATGAAATCCATAGCCACAGATATCATAAAAGCTGATACTGTGAGACATCAAAATCCTAAATAATGTCAATTCTAAAACTTAAGAATTGGAGCCATGTTTGACTACTGGAATATCATAAAACTTCATCAAATTTTTTCCCTCTCTCCTTTTCTATTAAGATTGTTTTTTTTTCAGTTCCCAGTTGAATTTTTTGGCTCTAACATTAAATGTCACTATTATTATGTTTTCATATACTAGTCACATATATTATATACTGTACACTCAATGCCTGTCCCAAGTTCATTTCTTATTCTCCTACAATCCCAGTAGCATTCCAACTAAATGTTCAACCACACATTTGAACAATAATCTGCTAATAAGATTCACCGTAGATGACGATAGCTCAAGTGCTAGCAAATCATGAGGATGCCTGCCGAATCTTTCATCTCCCAGTGTAGTAGCAATCAACTGGCAGTATGGACACAGAATCTGGACAAGTTACCTAGCATTTACTTATTCAAGAGTTTTGCTTCTGATTTATACTCTAGTCCTTACCTCACTATTAAAATGTAAAACTGCTCATACATTATCCCTTTGATTCTTTTTCCACCTTCTCCTTCCATTTCCTTTGACTCTCTGAAAGTACGTTACACTGGCAGATTGTGTTATTATAATAAATAGTTCTTAGAAATTACTGCAATCAAAATAAGGATGGAATCATTCTTGACAATCACCTTCTGCTTCTCTAGCTGCTAGGGAACAAGCCCCATAAACACAGTGCCTGTTTCCCCCCCAAAGCAAGGAAAACCAATTCAGTCTGAAAACAATCTTTACCTATAGAAAAGATCTGGAGAAAGCACATTCTAGATTTGTATCTTGCAGAAACACTACTATGGGAACTTGGATGACTAAGCCAAGAATCCTGAAATAGCAACCACTTGCTTTGGTTCTTAACACACAGGATCTCCTGGAGTAGTTCCATTTTGCCTCCCTTTTATCAGATGCCTTAAATTTGTCACATTCAGCTCTCTTCTCCTATCGAGATCTCCAACAGTCCCATTTTTTAATTTAGAATTTCATTTGCTCAGGCTTAATATAGATATTCTCATTTTGTCTCTTCCCGAATGTTCTACTTCCTGTGTACCCTGTATCCCTCCATTTCTCTCTTAAGATGCTCTCTAGAGTCAAAGGTCAATAGCATAATGACTAAAAAAATAGGATAAAGTGCTCTGATAATCTTAATTTAGGGAGATGCTGGTTTCCGTTCTCAGAGAAAAATCAGTCTGCAGGATGTCTACATGAAGTCATCTATGATGCTCTGACTAAAAAGGCTTTTGAGCATATTGGAACACTCGATGCATATAAGGGATGGAGTTATCTGGAGAGTTCTCACATGAAATCCAAAGATAGGTCTTGAATACTTTAATAGGCCCAGGAACAGAAGCTTCCAGCAATTCTTTCAGCTTAAAGAAATGCTGTGATTTAGGACTGCTTTCATTCTGACAATTATTATTCTGCGACTTACACTCAATCCGGGTCTTTCCTGAGAGTAGAAAAGTAGCCAGGACTCAGCCTACTCTGTGCTTAGGAAAATGATCATATTCAATGCAGACCCCTAGACAGCCTCTATTCAGGTTGGAAGTTTGACTAAAGAAGTCATTTAAAATTACCATATCATTGAGTCTCACAATGCACTCTGGTTCTTTCCTGAAGAAATAGTCTTTCTGAAATAAAGCCTGTTAATGCAAACTGATTATAGAAGGAATGTTCTGAACATGATCTACAAAGTCATACTGTGACAGGATAAAATGCAGCCTACCCACACCCACCCACACACAGAGCACACACACGGTATAGATTCATATTTTTTTCTGCCAAGGAGCAGAGAAAAAAGGAAACAGTTCTATTCCTTCCCTGCTTGTGTTCAAAGCCTGGAGTGAGGCCAGTGTCCTAATCAGTTCTCATTGGCCCTGGAGGAATCAGAACCTTTTGTAAAATATAATAAAGGGCATAAAATCATGATAAAATGCATGAAAAAGCAGTGCCTTTGGTTAGGGAACTAGAAATAATTTAGCAGAACAGATGGATTGCATTGGTTGGGTATTATTGAGGACATGAAAGGGCTCATTTTGTGGCAGTTCCAAACTAAGAGAAAATGTCCAACTTAAATTTGACAAGTCAAAGTACCTGCCTCCACTGGAGGAGACTCCATTTTCTTTAATCATTTTCAAAGTAGTGACATATTAGGCAAGAATGTCTACTGAAATACCTCATTTTCCRAAAGTATTTCATCCAATGTCTCTAAGTAAAGGAATATTTTTATTTTTTCCTCCAAAAATCTACAGTGCTGCCAATATTCAATTAAAAAAAACATAAATGAGTTATGTCAAAGTTAGATTCAGTTTTGAATACCATATTTAATACTTAAGGAGTCAGTTTGTGGTCCATTAATTATTCTTGATATATTTTTTTTTCTCTTAAAACAAACACAAAAATGTGGTCTCATTGTTCATGTCCAAGCATATCTCCTGGAATTTTCAGATGATAACAATCAATTGTTTCTTTGAATATTTTATAAGTTGTTTTTTTTTCCTAATAGCCACCCCCCAACACAGAGCTGTACAATCTTTCCTTATAGCCCTCATCATATAGTAACCTGTTTTCAGAATTTTTTCTCATAAAATGGAGTAAAAGGGGGCAGGCAGTAATAGAACAGGCAGGCAGCCTACCAGACTTCTCCCTTCTGTAGGGCACATGGAAGAAAACTAGACTGCAAGCTTAGAGCCAGAATTCTTATCCTGCTTCTTGAATGTTTTCCCTGTGCCTACAGCCAGCTGTGAAACATCTCTACAGGCCTTGGTTTCTTCATCTATAAGCATAAGGAAGTTTGCCTAAGTTTTTTCAAAGCTTCATTTTAGCCCTAACTGATAAGATTCTATGTGGCAAAATAACTTTATACGCCATAAAAATTCAAGAAAATATGCTTCACTTTGATTGATGAATTTGCCTGAGGCAAGCAAATACA